TACAGGCGGTGTGTTGAAGAAAAGAAAAGAATATTTTACTATATATTTCTAAGGTAGTAGCGTTGGTAAAAACAGCAACCACCAGGGAAGGTATTAACCGTCCTGCCAGTGCAGTGTACAACGAAAGCCTGTAATTGTTTGACATGAATGTGTAGGATTGCTTGGTGTCGTTTGCTCCTCGTTCATAAACATGCAATATTTCAGGTACTATGTACTTGTACTTCTTCTTGCATTTAGGTCACACTACACTTACATGTAAAGCATATATTATACACACACACACCCCTCTGGGTTTTCTTCTATTTTCTTTTAGTTCTTGTTTATTTCCTCTTACCTCCAGGGGGGAAGTGGAACTGACATTCTTCGTCCGTCAGCCATGCGTGTTGTAAGAGGCGACTCTAAATGCGGGAGCAAGGGGCTAGTAACCCCTTCTCCTGTATTTCTTACTAAAATTTATAAAGAGAAACATTAGTTTTTTCATTTTGGGCCCACCCGCCTCGGTGGATTACGGCTGGTATGTTTGAAAGACAGTAGAGATATATTATATATATATATCTATATATATATATATATATATATATTTATTTATTTAGTTATTTTATTTATTTATTGATTTTAGCATAGAATACAGTGGTTACAAAGAAAAAATAACTGGAACGATACACAAATACCCGCACATAGAAGAGAGGAGCTTACGATGTGTAAAGCTAATCTCTTCTATGTGCGGGTATATGAGTATCCACTTCTTTGTTTCTTTTTATTCCTTCTGCATATTTTTTTTTGTTAATATATGTTAATATTTGTTTTGTTAACTCAGAACATTTATAACTTATGTTGTGTCTTCTTCTATATGTGTAGCTTCTAGGATGGTATGTATTCTGAGCACCTACTGCAAAAAACAGTGTATAATGTAGCGAGTGTTCGGTGAAAGTGTTGAATGATGATGAAAGTATTTTCTTTTTGGGGATTTTCTTTCTTTTTTGGGTCACCCTGCCTCGGTGGAGACGGCCCCAATCCCGGACTTGTGAAAAAAAAAAAAAATGTTTTGTTAATATATAGGTAGTAGGTCGGTAGCAGCAACCACCCAGGGACAAGTACAAAGTACTCCCGTCCTGCAGATGACTGTGAAACAGAAACTGTAACTGTTTTGCTTGATGGTAGGATTGTGCGGTGTCTTTTTCTGTCTCATAAAACATGCTAGATAAAGGGATAGTCTTTGTACTTCCAACTTACACTCTGGTCACCTTCACAGACATGGCACATGCATATTAATACATACAATCTAGGTTTTTCTCTTTTTCTACATAGCTCTTGTTTTCTTTATTTTATTGTCCAATGGGGAAGTGAAAAGAATCTTTCCTCCGTAGCATGCTTGTGTTTAGAGGCGCCTAAAAATGCGGGGAGCAATGGGATAGTAACCCTTCTCCTGAGAAATTTACTAAACAAAGAAGAAGAGAAAAACTTTATAAAACTGGGATGATTGAATGTGCTGTGGATGTAGTGCAGATGACAGAACAGGATGTATTGCTGATTCATGGTCATGAAAAGATAGTTGGATGACCTGGCCCTAAGCGAAACAAAGCTTGAAGGGGCGGTAGGGGAAGTTTCGGTGGGGGGAAACTAAATGGGGATTAAAACTGGAGTATCTGAGAGGCTTAGCAGTCAAAAGGAACGGGTATAGCTTAGCAGTAATGTTGAATGATCAGTTATGGCAAGGGAAAAGAGAATATGAATGGTAAATGACAAGAATTATGTGGATTAAAGTAAAGGTTAGAAGCGAGAAGTGGGTCATAATAATCGGTATGCACCTGGGAAGAGCGGAATGACAGAGGAGACGAGAGAGATTTTTGGGAGATGTTAAAGTGAATGTATAGGAAGTCCTTTGAACCAAGGCGAGAGTAATTGTAGGTAGGGGAAAGTTGAATGTAAAGTAGGAGAAAACTTTTAGAAAGGGTGTGGTAGGGTAAGTTTGGGGTGCCAGGTGTAATTGATAATGGGAGCCCTTGATTGAACTGTGTATAGAAAGGGGTTTAGTTATCAGGTAAACTACATGATTTTAAGAAAAAGAGGATAATTAAGTACACAAGATATGATGCAGGGCGAAATGACAGTAGTTTGTTGGAATTATGCATGGCGTGTTAAAAGACTGTTGAGTTGAACCGTAGATGTACATGTTTATAAGAGGGCCACAGTATATCTGATCACTTTCTATTTGTAGCTACACTGAGAGTTAAAAGGTAGATGGGGATACAAGGAAGGATAGACGCATCAGGGAAGAGAGAGGTGAGGTTTATAAACTAAAAGAGGAGGCAGATAGGGCAAATCATATAAACAAAGCTATTGGAGGATTGATGGGCTAATGAGGAGCATAGGGCAATGGGTCGAAGGGTATAGGGGTAGGTTTAAAAATGGAGTGTTAGAGTGTTACAGCAGAAGTTTGTGGTTACAGGAAAGTGGCTTGTGCGGGAGGGACGAGGAGCGTTGGTGGAATGATGTGTAAAGGGAGAAAAAGTTGCATATGGAAGTTTTTACAAACGTAGAAGTGATTGCAAGGAGGGGAAGAGTAATATGGAGAAAAAGAGAGAGTTCAAGAAGAGTGGTGAAGCAATTGTTAAAAAGAGTGCAAAATGAGGAGTGGGTGAGAATGTTATCAACCATAATTATGTTGAAAATCAAAGAAAAGTTTGGAGTGAGATTAACAAGTTAAGGACAGCCAGAGAACAAATGGATTTGTCAGTTAAAAATAGGAGGAGTTTTTATTAATGGAGATTAAGGTATTGGGAAAGGGGGGAATTTTTTAAAGGGAATTGTTAAATGTTGAGAAGAAAGGAAGCTTATTTCGGTATAGGAAAGGAGAATAACATCTTGTGGGAGTGAGAAGAGCCATTGTGAGTGTGGGGAATTCGGGGCATGGGTAAAATGAAAGGGGTAAGGCACCGGGATTGAGGATAAAGATAAAAAGTTAAAAGCAGGTGGGATAATTTTGGAGTGGGTTTGGGCATTATTAATAAATGTATGGAAAAAGGTAAGGTACCTAGGGGTTTCGGAGAGCTGCATAGTTCCTTTGTATAAAGGGAAAGGGGGCAAAAGAAGGGGAAAAAAAATAGGGGGGAAAATCGTTGATATACCTGGGAAAGTGTATGGTAGAGTTTTTAAAAGAAAAAAATTAAAAGTAAACTGAGAATAGGAAGCAGATGAACAAGGGGGGCTTTAGGGAAAAGGGAGGGGGGGTGTGGACCCAGGTTTACAGGAAAAATGTAAGGAACAAATAATAAGCTAAAGAGGTCTTTGTGCATTTATGGATTGGAAAAGGCATATACAGGGGGATAGGGGGCAAAGTGGCAATGTTCAGGTGTATGGTTAGGAGGGACTTACGGGAAAGCGTGGGAAAAATTTTTTTTAAAAAGGATATGAGGGTCAAGTTAAGAGTTAAAAAAAAGGAAATTATTTTCCCAGTAAAAGTAGGCCTTGCAGGTGTGTGAGTCACAGTGGTTGTTTAATATATTTATAGATGGGGTTTAAGAGAAAAAATGCGAGGGTCTTGGACAAAGGCGGGGATTAAAAGAAAAGAATCCACACAAAAGTGGGAGTTGTCACAGTTGCCTTTGCTGATGACACTGTGCTCTTGGGAGATTTCTGAAGAGAAGTTGCAAGGTTTTGGGGGTAAATTTTGGGGTGGGGTGGGGAAAAGAAAAAAATTAAAAGTGAATACGGGAAAGAGAAAGGGATAACAAAAAATTGGGTGAGAAAAATTGGATTAAATTTGGAGGAGAGAGAAAGGGGGGGGAATGTATTCAATATTTGGGAGTTACGTGTCCGGGGAGGGGGTCATAAGGATGGGGTGAATCAAGAATTGATGGGGGGAAAAGGGTGAGGGGGTGAAATTAGGAACTGTGGGACAAAGAATTTTGTCCTTGGGGGCAAAGAGGGGAAGTATGAAGAATAGTTTTACCAACACTCTTATATGGGTGTGAAGCATGGTGAGAATTTTGCAGCAGGAAGGCTGGAGGGAGTGGGGATGTCATTCTGAGGGCAATGTGTGGTGTAATAATGCAAAATTCGTAGTTTTTGGAAATTAGGGGAGGTCGGGATTACCCAAAAATTTTCCAGAGGGGGGAGGAAGGGGTTTTGAGGGGTTCGGGCAGTAGAGAGAATGGAGCGAAACAGGGTGACTTCAAAGTGTATCATCTGTAGTGGAAGGGAAGGGTGGGGTTGGGGGCGGCCTAGGAAAGGTTTGGGGGGAGGGGGTAAAAGGGGGTTTTTTTGTGCGGGGGGCTTGGACTTCCACAGGGGTGCGTGAGCGTGTTTGATGGAGTGAATGGGGGGAAAGAATGGTTTTTTAAAACTTGACGTGGGCTGAGTGGAGCAAAATAACATTTATAGGGTTTAGGGAAAAACCGGGGGCCGGACTTGAGTCCGGGTGGGAAGTACAGTGCCTGCACTCTGAAAGGGGTGTTAATTTGCAGTTTTAAAAAATTTTTGTAAAGCACCCTTTCTGGGGAAACAGGGGAGTGAATGATGTTGAAAGTTTTTCTTTTTTGGGGCCCCCTGCCTTGGTGGGAAAACCCAGTGGATAATAAATAAAATAAAAAATATGTTTTTCTTAACATTTCCCCCCTAAAGCAGGATGACTCAAAGAAGGAAACACTTTTGCCACCATTTGTCTTCCCAAAAGTGCAAGAACATGACGATTCCAAATGATCTTCAGCAACATCCCTACCCATCTTTCAGAGTGCAGGCACTGTAATTTCCATCTTCAGAATTCAAGTTCACAAGTGCAGCTAACAGGTTTGTCTAAAACCTGTCACACTTTTGCACATGGCATACCTGGGGGGCGTTCCAGGAGTCAACGGAGCTCCCATGGCCTGGTCCATGACCAGGCCACGCATATATGTATATATACCTTTTTTAACTTTTATTTTTTTACCCAAACACTTTTCTCTCAGTAGTCCATTATTCTAACAAAATTAGACAAATATTTCTAAATGACACATGCATACCTTTGTTTGGCATTCTCTCAAACATCGCAGTTTTAGAGCATTTCTTTATTTCTTTCAGCATCAGGAATTCATGTTCTCCAGCCAAGCTAATACAGCGTCCACAGTGACCAGCGCGGGCAGTGCGACCAACTCGATGAACGTAGCCAACATACTTATTAGGTAATGTGTAATTTATGACCTGAAATGGCACTGGAGATGAATAAATATACCATGGAAGATCATTCTGGAAATGGACTGAAGCCATTTGTTTTTTAGGTGCTCCCCAGTCAAACTGTTACTTGTGAAATCATAAGAGCTCATATGATCAGTTTAGGTTTCTCAGTGTTCTGTAATGAATGAGAATTGACTTTGAATTTTAAGTTATGCACAGTAACATGCAGATAACAAGGAAACTGAGTAACACTGTCATAATAAAAGTGATATCCTTGATGATCAGTTATTGGCATAAAAACTCCATTTTAAGATAATGAACCACCATTAAAGAGTATAATGCAATATTTTTAAGACATGAAATACTGCATGGAGAGAAAATTTAACCTCTTAATACATAAATATATACCAGTTCTTGCTACTGTGCTTTAATTATTTTAAATATATGTGGAATAAAATTTGATTTTATGCAAGTAACTGTACCTTATTGAAATTGCATGCAGCATTTTTGCTTACTATACCGTGATAAAGCCAAAAATATTCCTTTTACAATGCAAGGCATTAACAGACTTACTGTCTTGACTCCTTTAATGTCGAGACCTCGGGCAGCAACATCTGTAGCAATTAAAACACCAATTTCATCATCCTTGAACTTTTTGAGAGTTAGAAGACGTTCAGCTTGCTTGAGGTTACCATGTAATTCACCAGACCTCACTCCCAGCAACCCAAGTAGAATGTTTAAATGATGGGCCAGAACCTAAATTGAAAGGACACAAACAATTCAATCTCTCTTTTTACTGTCTGAAAATAAAAGTCACAATTTATTGCTACAGCCACTTAAGAGATTGATTATATAAGTAATCAATTGGTTATTGCCTTATTAGTCTTAAGATAGGCTAAAGTTTGCCCAAAATGATTTGCATACTAAGGACCTTTCTGCATGCACACCTCATTGTCACCCATCTCTGCACAAACATTGTATCGTGCTGAAATAATGAATCTTTAATGTCATAGGTGTCACATTTTACAAATAGCCTACAAACTGGAGACAGAGCTTTAAACAATGTGCTACTCCATCCGGAACCTTTTTCAAATCATTGTCTAAAAAATGTACAGTATCTCTTAATTTATGAGATAACTAAGAATGCCTCTCTATATCTATCATTAATACTAAAATATAGAGTACAGTAGTTTTAAATTTTTCAAAGCACTGGCCGTCTCCCACTGAGGCAGGGTGACCTAAAAGAAAAACAAAAGATTTTCTTTTTCTTCTTTCTTTCTTTCAACACACCGGCCGTATCCCACCGAGGTGGGGTGGCCCAAAAGGAAAAACGAAAGCTTCTCCTTTCAAATTTAGTAATATATATAATATATACAGGAGAAGAGGTTACTAGCCCCTTGCTCCCGGCATTTTAGTCGCCTCTTACAACACGCATAGCTTACGGAGGAAGAATTCTGTTCCACTTCCCCATGAAGATAAGAGGAAATAAACAAGAACAAGAACTAGAAAGAAAATAGAAGAAAACCCAGAGGGGTATGTATATATATGCTTATGAGAGGTTTTTACAAAGCAGCAATGTTATAAGAAGAGCAGAGTATATGGAGAGTAAAAGAAAGGTAAAGAGAGTGGTGAGAGAGTGCAAAAGGAGAGCAGATGATAAAGTGGGAAAGGCACTGTCAAGAAATTTTAATGAAAATAAGAAAAAAATTTGGAGTTAAACAAGTTAAGAAAGCCTAGGGAAAGTATGGATTTGTCAGTTAAAAACAGAGTAGGGGAGTTAGTTGATAGGGAGATGGAGGTATTAGGTAGATGGCAAGAATATTTTGAGGAACTTTTAAATGTTAAGGAAGAAAGAGAGGCAGTAATTTCATGCACTGGTCAGGGAGGTATACCATCTTTTAGGAGTGAAGAAGAGCAGAATGTAAGTGTGGGGGAGGTACGTGAGGCATTACGTAGAATGAAAGGGGGTAAAGCAGCTGGAACTGATGGGATCATGACAGAAATGTTAAAAGCAGGGGGGATATAGTGTTGGAGTGGTTGGTACTTTTGTTTAATAAATGTATGAAAGAGGAAAAGGTACCTAGGGATTGGCGGAGAGCATGTATAGTCCCTCTATATAAAGGGAAAGGGGACAAAAGAGACTGTAAAAATTATAGAGGAATAAGTTTACTGAGTATACCAGGAAAAGTGTATGGTAGGGTTATAATTGAAAGAATTAGAGGTAAGACAGAATGTAGGATTGCGGATGAGCAAGGAGGTTTCAGAGTGGGTAGGGGATGTGTAGATCAAGTGTTTACATTGAAGCATATATGTGAACAGTATTTAGATAAAGGTAGGGAAGTTTTTATTGCATTTATGGATTTAGAAAAGGCATATTACTTTTCCTTTTATATCCATGGGGAAGTGGAATAAGAATCTTTCCTCCGTAAGCCATGCGTGTTGTAAAAGTCAACTAAAATGCCGGGAACATTGGGCTAGTAACCCCTTTTCCTGTAAAGATTACTAAAAAGAATAATAAGAAGAAAATTGTCAAAGTGGGAAGTCTGAATGTGCATGGATGTTGTGCAGATGATAAGAAAGAGATGATTGTGTTTGTTATGAATGAGAAGAAGCTGGATGTCCTGGCTTTAAGTGAAATAAAGCTGAAGGGGGTGGGAGAGTTTCAGTGGAGAGGAATAAATGGGATTAGGTCAGGGGTTTCAAATAGAGTTAGAGCTAAAGAAGGAGTAGCAATAATGTTGAAGGATAAGCTATGGCAGGAAAAGAGGGACTATAAATGTATTAATTCAAAGATTATGTGGAGTAAAATAAAGATTGGATGTGAAAAGTGGGTTATAATAAGCGTGTATGCACCTGGAGAAGAGAGAAGTGTAGAGGAAGAGAGATTTTGGGAAATGTTGAGTGAATGCATGGGAGTTTTGAATCAAGTGTGAGAGTAATGGTGGTTGGGGATTTCAATGCTAAAGTGGGTAAAAATGTTATGGAGGGAGTAGTAGGTAAATTTGGGGTGCCAGGGGTAAATGTAAATGGGGAGCCTTTAATTGAGCTATGTGTAGAAAGAGATTTGGTAATAAAGTAATACATATTTTATGAAAAAGAGGATAAATAAATATACAAGGTATGATGTAGCACGTAATGAAGTAGTTTATTCAGATTATGTATTGGTGGATAAAAGGTTGATGGGTAGGCTCCAGGATGTACATGTTTATAGAGGGGCAACTGATATATCGGATCATTATTTAGTTGTAGCTACAGTTAGAGTAAGAGGTAGATGGGAAAAGAGGAAGGTGGCAACAAGTAAGAGGAGGTGAAAGTGTATAAACTAAGGGAGGAGGAAGTTCAGGTGAGATATAAGCGACTATTGGCAGAAAGGTGGGCTAGTGCAAAGATGAGTAGTGGGGGGGTTGAAGAGGGTTGGAATAGTTTTAAAAATGAAGTATTAGAATGTGGGGCAGAAGTTTGTGGTTATAGGAGGGTGGGGGCAGGAGGAAAGAGGAGTGATTGGTGGAATGATGAAGTAAAGGGTGTGATAAAAGAGAAAAAGGTAGCTTATGAGAGGTTTTTACAAAGCAGAAGTGTTATAAGAAGAGCAGAGTATATGGAGAGTAAAAGAAAGGTGAAGAGAGTGGTGAGAGAGTGCAAAAGGAGAGCAGATGATAGAGTGGGAGAGGCACTGTCAAGAAATTTTAATGAAAATAAGAAAAAATTTTTCGAGTGAGTTAAACAAGTTAAGAAAGCCTAGGGAAAGTATGGATTTGTCAGTTAAAAACAGAGTAGGGGAGTTAGTAGATGGGGAGATGGAGGTATTAGGTAGATGGCGAGAATATTTTGAGGAACTTTTAAATGTTGAGGAAGAAAGGGAGGCAGTAATTTCATGCACTGGCCAGGGAGGTATACCATCTTTTAGGAGTGAAGAAGAGCAGAATGTAAGTGTGGGGGAGGTACGTGAGGCATTACGTAGAAAGAAAGGGGGTAAAGCAGCTGGAACTGATGGGATCATGACAGAAATGTTAAAAGCAGGGGGGGGGGATATAGTGGGGGAGGGGTTGGTGCTTTTGTTTAATAAATGTATGAAAGAGGGGAAGGTACCTAGGGATTGGCAGAGAGCATGTATAGTCCCTTTATATAAAGGGAAAGGGGACAAAAGAGACTGTAAAAATTATAGAGGAATAAGTTTACTGAGTATACCAGAAAAGTGTACGGTAGGTTATAATTGAAAGAATTAGAGGTAAGACAGAATGTAGGATTGCGGATGAGCAAGGAGGTTTCAGAGTGGGTAGGGGATGTGTAGATCAAGTGTTTACATTGAAGCATATATGTGAACAGTATTTAGATAAAGGTAGGGAAGTTTTTATTGCATTTACGGATTTAGAAAAGGCATATGATAGAGTGGATAGAGGAGCAATGTGGCAGATGTTGCAAGTATATGGAATAGGTGGTAAGTTATTAAATGCTGTAAAGAGTTTTTATGAGGATAGTGAGGCTCAGGTTAGGGTGTGTAGAAGAGAGGGAGACTACTTTCCGGTAAAAGTAGGTCTTAGACAGGGATGTGTTATGTCACCATGGTTGTTTAATATATTTATAGATGGGGTTGTAAAAGAAGTAAATGCTAGGTGTTCGGGAGGGGGGTGGGATTAAATTATGGGAACAAATTCAAAATGGGAATTGACACATTACTTTTTGCTGATGATACTGTGCTTATGGGAGATTCAAAGAAAAATTGCAAGGGTTAGTGGATGAGTTTGGGAATGTGTGTAAAGGTAGAAAGTTGAAAGTGAACAAGAAAAGAGTAAGGTGATGAGGGTATCAAATGATTTAGATAAAGAAAAATGGATATCAAATTGGGGGGGAGGAGTATGGAAGAAGTGAATTTTTTCAGATACTTGGGAGTTGACGTGTCGGCGGATGGATTTATAAAGGATGGGGGTTTAAATCAAGAATTGATGGGGGAAAAAAAGGGTGAGTGGTGTGTTGAGGTATATGTGGAGTCAAAAAACGTTATCTATGGAGGCAAAGAAGGGAATGTAAGAAAGTATAGTAGTACCAATGCTCTTATAGGGGTGTGAAGCTTGGGTGGTAAATGCAGCAGCGAGGAGACGGTTGGGGGCAGTGGAGATGTCCGTTTAAGGGGCAATGTGGGGTGTAAATATTATGCAGAAAATTCGGAGTGTGGAAATTAGGAGAAGGTGTGGAGTTAACAAAAGTATTAGTCAGAGGGCAGAAAGGGGTTGTTGAGGGGGTTTTGGGTTTATTTAGACAGAAGGATCAAAGTAAATGACATGGAAAGCATATAAATCTATAGGGAAGGAAGGCGGGGTAGGGTCATCCTCGAAAGGGTTGGAGAGAGGGGGTAAAGGGGGTTTTGTTTGCAAGGGGCTTGGACTTCCAGCAAGCGTGCGTGAGTGTTTTAGATAGGAGTGAATGGAGATGAATGGTACTTGTGACCTGACGATCTGTTTGGAGTGTGAGCAGGTAATATTTAGTAAAGGGGATCAGGGAAACCGGTTATTTTCATATAGCGACTTGAGTCCTGGAAATGGGAATACAATGCCCTGCACTTTAAAGGAGGGGTTTGGGATATTGGCAGTTTGGAGGGATATGTTGTGTATCTTTATATGTGTATCCTTCTAAACTGTTGTATTCTGAGCACCTCTGCAAAAACAGTGATAATGTGTGAATGTGGTGAAAGTGTTGAATGATGATGAAAGTATTTTCTTTTTGGGGATTTTCTTTCTTTTTTGGGTCACCCTGCCTTG